TTCGGGACACAGATTAAGCCGGCCGGCCGTCGCAAAAAGAGCGCCATGAAAACGCTGCGTTCTGCAGCCAGATTTACCAGGTTTCTGTCACGTAAGTCTCCCTCTCGCTTCCTCTCTTCTCTTGTCTTTTGCTTTTAGCACATTAATAATTCGCATTCTTCATCCTAAGCCTGTATCATTAAAGTTGCTTTATACTCCACTAAGAGAAAAAAACATCGAAAAAATTGTTAATATTTAATATTTATAATAGGTACTCTAATAATATACAGAGAGAGAGAGAGAGAGAGAGAGAGAGAGAGAGAGAGAGAGAGAGAGAGAGAATGTGTATTCATATTTATGAATATCTAGGAATTATTGTTTTAAACTTATTATTTATCATAAGACGGTATCTTCCAATCAAATTAAAGACCGAATCTTGCTAATGTTATTCGGTTCGCCGAGAACCGTCAAAAATATTGGGTGTACAACTTAGTTCGGTCCGTTTTCAAAAGATGGCTCTAGGTGCTATAAATGGTTGACGGCGACAGCTGATTTTTGCTGTATCGTGAAGTGTCAACATCTGTCAACCAAATGTTGTTTACAAGCCTTTGAGTTTTGCACAACAAGTTTAATTTTTACTGCGTTGAAAATGTCGAGTTTTGTTCCAAATAAGCACCATTTGCGGGAAGTTTTGATTTTCTGTTTCAATTGGAAGAAAAGTGCAGCTGAAGCGCATCGAATGCTTGTGGAAGTTTATGGTGAATCTGCACCGTCGGATCTTGCAGAGAATGGTTTCGACGATTTCAAAGTGGTGATTTTAGTGTTGAAACAAAGAGCGTTCGGGTCAACCGAAAAAGTTTGAAGATGAAGAATTAGAAACATTACTCGATCAACATTCGTGTCAAACGCAAAAAGAGCTCGCAAGAACATTGGAAGTTACTCAACAAGCTATTTCGAAACGACTCAAAGCCGCGGGATACATCCAAAAGCAAGGAAATTGGGTCCCATACGAATTGAAACCGAGAGATATCGAACGACGATTTTGCATGTCCGAAATGTTGCTTGAACGGTACAAAAAGAAGTCTTTTCTGCATCGAATCATTACCGGGGAAGAAAAATGGATTTACTACGACAACCCGAAATGCAAAAAATCGTATGTAAAGCCCGGCCAACCGGGAACATCAGCGCCGAAGCCGAATATCCATGATGCCAAGGTAATGCTCTGTATTTGGTGGGATCAGAAGGGTGTGATCCACTATGAGCTGCTAAAACCTGGTCATACCATCACGGGAGACTTCTACGGCGACAATTGATCCGTTTAAAGCGAGCTATAGCCGAAAAACGTCCAGAATATGCGACCAGACACGAGTCCATAATCTTTCACCATGACAACGCTCGGCCTCATGTTGCTGTTCCGGTTAAAAACTATTTGGAAAATAGCGGATGGGAAGTTCTGGCTCACCCGCCTTATAGCCCAGACCTTGCCCCTTCCGACTACCACTTGTTTCGGTCGGTGGCACACGCACTTGCAGAGGAACACTTTAACTCTTATGAAAGCGTCGAAAAATAGGTCTCTAATTGGATAGCTTCTAAAGATGAGTCGTTCTTTCGCCGTAGGATCCGCTTATTACCAGAAAGATGGGAAAAAGTCATCTAACGATAGTCAATATTTTGATTGATGTATTTTTTGTTTCTTAAATTTTTGCAGAAAAAGGCGGGTTTCAAGTTATAGATCTAATATTAGCTCTGATATAGTACGGGTCAGACACCCTCTCTCTCTCTCTCTCTCTCTCTGTGTATGTGTGTGTGTGTGTGTGTATGTGTGTACGCAGAGTATCCAGATCACCTTTACAATCTTTTGTGAGGACATATAGTAGAGCGGATAAAGATGAATGCAAGAATCCCATACTGTTTTGCGACGTTCTCAATAATAACCGAGAAATTAATTGTAAAAGATGAAGGAAAAACGTACGCTGAATGGTTGAGGAAGGATAGCTCGCGACCCAGTAATATAGTAGGTAGATATCAACGCGCGGCTTCTATCGTTACGATTCTACGTCTTGCCGCACCGCGCTAAGGCGAGATGTCGGAGTGCAGCGATGTATAGAGAGTGGTGTGTTGTTTTTCCAATTACCGCGCGCCGACATCCGTGCGCTATATTATTAGGCCGCGAGAGCTGCTCTTTCAACCATTCAGCATGCGTTTTTCCTTAATCTTTTACAATTAATTTCTCGGTTATTACTGAGAATATCACGGTATAGAACTTTTATATTGATCTCAATCCGCTCTACATCCTTACGAGAGATTGTAAAGGCGATCTGGGACACCCTATATACGGAGTGTCCCGCGTAAGACATACCAAAAGAAAAATATAAGTAGAACAGATAAAAGTAAACGAAAATTGTAGAGGTGATTTTTCAAACAACCATGTAAAATTTTGAGATATTAATTAAAATAGTTGAGTAAATTAAAGTGCGCGATGCGACAGGCGGAACATATGGCTCGCCGCGGCCGGCGAAGAAAATGAATGAAATTGCTTGCGGGTCTATCTTATACACCTAGAAATAGAGACTACATCTTAGGTCTGAGACTACGTGATAGACCCGCGAGCAATCGTCCATTACTGAAATGAGTAGCTCCGTGTGTGCGTCCGTGTACGTGTGCGTTCTTCCATTTTCTTCGTCGACCGCTGCGAGCCGTATGTCCCACCTGTCGCGTCGCGTGTTCTAATTTGTCCAACTATTTTAATTAATATCTCGAAATTTTACGTGGTTGTTTGAAAAATGACCTCTACAATTTTTGTTCACTTTTATCTGTTCTATTCGTATTTTTCTTTTGACACATATTACGCGGGACACCCTGTATATCCATGTATACACAGGATATCCCAAACTCTTCTTTTCACATAAAGTAGGAGTATAGAACGGATTGAGGTGAACATAATATTCCCATACCGTTTTGCGATATTCGCAATAATAACCGAAAAATTAATTGTAAAAGATTAAGGAAAAACGCACGCTGAATGGTTGAGGATGGAGCGATCGCAACCTAATTATTATAGCGCACGGATGTCGGCGCGCGGTGATTAGAAAAACAACGCACCATTGCCTATATTTATATCCTTACACTTCTACATTTGGCCTCGGCGCGGTACGGCAAGACATAGGATCAGAGCGATACAAGACGCTGACATCTGCCTGCTATATTACTTGGTCGCAAGCGTTTCTCCCTCAACCATTCAGCGTGCGTTTTTTCTTAATCTTTTCAAATAATTTCTCGGTTATTATTGTAAATATCGCAAAACGGTATAGGACTTTATGTTCACCTCAACCCGTTCTGCATTCTCACTTAATATGAGAAGGAGAGTGTGGGACACCTTATATATATATATATATATATATATATATATATATATATATATATATATATATATATATATATATATATTTTATATATATATATATATAT